ATCCCCGCCTGCGCCGGCCGAGTAGAGCTTGCCGTTGCTGAGGCGCATCTCGCGGACGGCGCGCAGCGACAGCAGGGCCCGGCTCGGGCCGCCCGGGCGCCGGCGCCGGCGGGAACGCGACGTCTTGCGGCAGGACACCGCGTGCCGCAGCTCCTGCAGCATCTCCTGGCACACCGACACCTACGGGCGGGCAGCGCGGGGCATGGTGGTCACCGCCGGCGCTCTCCTCGCCGCCGCCCCCTCCCCTGGCTTTCGCAGCCTCTCTCCCCTCCCCGCCTCCCCCAGCTCCTCCCCACAGCCGCTCTCTTCCCCTCTGTCTCTGCACCCCCTCCGCTCTTCCCGCCCCACCTCCTTCCTTCACCTCCTTCTTCCCTGCAGGCCCTTTCATCTCCTCTCTTCCTTCTTCCCTCTCCACACTTCCCACCCACTTCCCTCAATTCCTTCATCCTCGTGATTCCTGCCTCACCTCTCCACCTCTCAATTCTTCTCTCTCTCTTCCACTTCTCTACTCCGTGCCCTTGCTTCTTCTGGTTTCTTCCTGAACCTGCCCTCACTTCCTACCTGGGCGACTCTCTTTCCTCTTGTCTTTTCACTCTAAACTGTCTAACTGCCTCTAGTCCTTCCCTCATACTTCTGCTTCTTTTAAATGCAGTCACTATTACTAGACGTATTTACTGAGTGCCTACTGTGTGCCAGGCACTGCTCTGGGCACTGGGGATACAGCCAAGAAAACAGCAGTCCCTGCCCTCCTGGAGAATGTGCCCTCTGCACATTCCAGTGTGCAGAGACAAGAAATGTAGGTCATCAGAGTATAAATGTAAATGTATATCAGGTGGTAGTGAGTGCTCTGGAGAAAAATAAAATCAGCAAGAGAGGTGAGGAGTGTGGATGGGGAGTGATGCTGAATTTTGAGAGAGGACAGTTAAGGGAGACTCATTGAGAAGAGGACCTGAAAGGCAGTGCTGGGAGAGCCACGTGGAGCTGGGAGAGCAGGCAGATAACTCAGCAGGACAAAGGTGCTGAGGTGGGAGCAGGCATGGCCTGTTGGAGGGACCAAGAGCAGGTTGGGGGCTGGAAGGGGGTGTACAGGGGGGAGAGAGATGAGGTCACAGAAGCAATGGGGGCCATTCATGTAAGGCCAGAGGCCACTGTAAGGATGTGGCTTTTATTCTGAGTCAGATGGGAGCCACTGGAGAGTTGTAAGCAGAGGACTGCTGTGCTTCCACAGGGTCACTCTGGTGCTGTGCTAAGAAGGGACCGTAGGGAGGCTGAGGGCAGGAGCAGGAAGCCCACTGAGGAAGCTGCTACTATAACCAGGCAGGAGATGGTGGTGGCCGGACCAGAGTGGTGGTGGCTAAGGAGATGAGGAGGAGTTGGATACTGGGTGTATTTTGAAGGTAGAGCCAACAGGATTTGCTGAGAGATCAGATACAAGGTGTGAAAGAGAGGGAGGAGTGAAGGGTAACTCTACATATTTTCACCTGAGTAACGGGAATGATGGCATTGCCTGGTGGGTGGGCAGAACTCCATGCTGGACACGCGACGTTATGTGCGCTACCTGTCAGACATCCACGTGGAGATGTTGAGCATGGAGCTGAATTTACAAACCCTTGGTTCAGGGAGAGGTCCCTGTGAGGGATAGACATTTGGGGGCTATGGTAGGCAGCCCCAGGATCCCACCCCACCGGTGTTCCCGCCCTTGTGTAATCCCCTCTGCCTTTGTATCAGCGTTGCTGTACGACCAACAGAATACGGCTAGGTCAGCTATTTTGGCTTCTGCCTGGCTCTCTCTTGGATCATTTGCTCTGGGGACCGCCAGCTGCCATGGCGTGAGGACGCTCAAGCAGCCGTGTGGAGAGGTGCCTGTGCGAGGAACTGAGGCCTCCTGCCAACTGCCATGTGACTGAGTGTATTAATCATGTTCTTTATTTTTTCTACCTTAGGAAGTTTTGACATCTTTTTTTTTTTTTTTGTGAGGAAGATCAGCCCTGAGCTAACATCCATGCTAATCCTCCTCTTTTTGCTGAGGAAGACCGGCTCTGAGCTAACATCTATTGCCAATCCCCCCCCTTCCCCCCCCCCCCCAAAGCCCCAGTAGATAGCTGTATGTCATAGTTGCACATCCTTCTAGCTGCTGTATGTGGGACGCGGCCTCAGCATGGCCGGACAAGCGGTGCATCGGTGCGCACCTGGGATCTGAACCCGGGCCGCCAGTAGCGGAGCACGCGCACTTAACCGCTAAGCCACGGGGCCGGCCCAGTTTTGACATCTTAAAAATCTTGCTGGCCAGGGAAAGACTGCCCCTCCCAGAGCTAGACAATTCTTAGGCGTAGGGAAGGGCTGGGTGCCTGCCTTTCATATACAAACCAACCAATTCCTGGAGGACTCTATACCCCCAACCACTCCCTTTATCCAATTCACACACAAACTCAATATTTTCTCTGCCCTAAATCAACCAAGGGCAGGTACCAGACAACTAGACACCACCCCACTAGCCCAGAGCCCGCCACATTATCCAAACTAGCCACTCTGAAGCTGCACTGCCTTGCCTTTCCTGTAGAAACGCCAATAAAGTCTGGCCTAGGCTTTCTCTTGCTCCTGCTTCTGCCTCCTGAACAAACATGGTGCTTCCCCTGTCGCCCTGCACAGTGTGGCATGCCCCCTCTTGGAAAATGTAAGTAATAAAAATCTTCTTTCAATGGCATTGGCCTCTCTGTGTCACCTCCATAAATTAAAATCCCACAGGTACATTTTGAGACAGTGAGCCATGTTGGAAGTGGATCCTCCAGCCCCAGGTGAGCCTTCAGCCAACATCATGACTGTGACCTCACCAGAGACCCTGGGCAGCCAGAACCACCCAGCTAAGCTGCTCCCAGCTTCCTGACCCAAAGAAAGTGTAAACTTGTAAAAGTTTGCTGTTTTAAGCTGCTAAGTTTGGGGATAATTTGTTGTTATGTGGCAAAAGATAACTACTACAGGAGTCATCAGCATATGGATGTCTCACAAACCATCTGGCTGGATGGGATCACGGGGAGTGGAGAAAGAGAAGAGCAGTAGTCCCAGGACCAAGCCCGAGAGCCCCCCAACAAAGGCATGGCCAGAGATGTCGGAGGAAATGAGGTGCAAGCCGGGAAGAAGGGTTTTGAGGAGGGTGATCAGCATGCTGAAGCCTATTGCTACCTCACATGTGATGAGGCCCGAGCCTGGGCACTGGATTTCAGACGTGGGGTCACTGGTGACAAGACTGGCCTCAGTGGAGAGGTGGGACAGAAGCTGGATTGGAGAGGGTCCACGTATGAATGAGAGGAGAGAAACTGCAAACAGCAGGGGGACACAACTCTTTCAAGGCTGTAAGGGAAGGGGAGAAACGGGTGGTGGCGGAGAGGGGAAGTGGGGTCAAGAGAGGGTTTCTTGAAGATGGGAGAAATGACAGCATGTTTGTATGCTGCTGGCCTTGATCCAATAAAGAGGGGGAAACTGATGATGCAGGAGGGAAGGAGAGAACTGCTGAGGGATGTCTTTGGGGAGGCAAGAGAGGAGACGGGACACAGGGGAGGGCACCTTAGCTAGGAGTGTGGACGTTCATTTGGAGTAACTAACCTAACCAGGCGAGCGGAAAAAGCAGGCGGGTGGCTGGATGTGGCTGTGGGGCTTTGCATGCTCTCCCTGACTTGTCTGCTTTCTCAGGAGAGTAGAGGCAAGGTCATCAGCCAAAAGTGAGGAGGGGCTGAAGGCTGGTGAGAGAGGGGAAGGTGGGAACCGTCTAGGAGCACGGGGGCACGAATGGGTTGGGAAATGTAGGAATGTCGCTGGGCAGCACGGATCCTGAACACAGCGTGAGACGTGAGAAGGGTCAGCAAGTCTGTTTCCTTCGGGTCACATTCAGCTGCATTCTCCTGCCTCTGTCTCTCCTCTTATTTCTTCTTGCTTTGCCACCTCCACCTCTCCCCACATTCTTCTCTCTGGGCCCCTTCTCACTCCTTTCCCCTGCACCTTCGTCTCTGCCCTGTCCTCATTCCCCCTCTGCCCTCTTTCACACCTGTGGATTCTCTCTCCCCTCCCAATGCCACAGTCTTCACGCCCCTCCACCCCTGGGATCCCACTTCTCCCCCACACACCATTGGCCAACCTCCTCACCTCTTCAGACTCTGCCGACCTCCGCGTGGACCATATGAATTCCATGACTGCCACGAAGACAGCAATGATGAGGCCACAGATGAGCACGACAAAAATGCCGCCGATGTTCTCCATGCCCAAACCTGGGGTCGAGGGGGAGAGCCATGTGGTCAGGGCTGTGTGGGCATGGGGGCTTCGAGGAGTCTTTGGAAGAGCACAGCGTGTGGGGTGGCTGACCTTTAGCTCGATGGTCCTCCTCCTTGGGGCACCGGCTCCCCTCCCACCACTTGCGCTTCAGGATCTCCAGCCGATTGTTCTCCTGAAGCTGCAGGATGGCCAGCGTGATCTCATCCCGGAACGGGGAGCCTGGACCGGGCATACAAGGGGGTGGACCAGCCATCGGGGCTCTGGAGCTTTGCCCACCCAAACCCCAACTGCTCCCTCACCACGGCCTCTCCTCCTACCTCTGCCACATCCCCAGGGTCTTCCCTGTCCACCTTCAAGTCTGACTGCTCGCCACCTCCCCTGCAACCACCCTAGGCCAAGCCCCCATTACACCTCATGTCACATTTGTCACCAACGCCCCCCTCCCCCCACGGCCTCCCCTTACCCCCTACCCAGCCAGGGGACAACTTCAAAAACATAGTCATAAATCACGCCTCTCTCATGCTTAAAATTCTCCAGTGGCTTCCAGTTGCAGCTAGAACAATGTCCTTCCCTCGGCCAACAAGATCCTACATTCACTGGCCCTGCCACCTGGGGCTCCCGCTGCCCACTGCCCACAGCTCCAGCCACAATGGCCTCTGGCTGTTCCTTGAATCCGCCAGGCGTAATCCCACCTTAGGCTCTTTGCCTCTGCCTGGAATGTTCTTTCCCACACTTCACTCAGGGCTCTGCTCACATGGTGCCTCCTCAGGGCGTCTTCTCTGACTAACTTTATTTAAAATGGCACCAGGCTCCCTTTGAGTCTCTTCCCTTTAATCTCCTGCAGAGCAGTCGTCACCTCCTGATATCACACTATAAAGCTATGTGTTCATTGTCTGTTTGCTGTCTGTACCTTATTAGAAGATAGGAGGGCAGGGGCTTGGCAGCTCCCTACTGTGGTATCCCAGTGTCTAGCGCAGTGCCCGGCACACAGTAGGGCATCAGACACATCTCTGAATGAACGAATCCCAGCCACACTTCTCCTCAGCATGGCCCCAACCCAGGACCACCTTTCTCCTCTCCACCCTCAGACCCTCCCCTTAAACCATCCTTGGGCCCCAAACAGCCCCTTGACACACCCTATCCTGTACTCATTTCTTCATTCACTGTGATACTTCCTGAGCATCTACCAGGGGCCAGAACCAGGGATATGGACGCGTGGGGTGGTTAGTATTTATCAGGCACCTCCTGTGTGCCAGATACTGGGCTTACAGAAATCTATTCAAGTCTCCCAGTCGTCCTGTGCACAGGTATGACCACCCCCACTATCTGGAAGAGGCAGGTGACACTCTTCCTAAGGTCATGCGCTGAGTCAGGGAGGAAGCTGGGGTCTACATCCAGGTCGTATGACTCCAGAGCCTGTCCCCCACAGCACCAGGCCACACTGCTTCCCTGGCACAGCACCGACTCTACTACAAAGCTGTACGATTTGGGGTAATTTGTTATATGGTAATAGATAACTAAGACAGCAGTCATCAGCACATAGATGGTTTTAAATGCCAAAATTTGGTGACAAAATTGGTGGTGAGTTTCCAGCATTGAGCCCTGGAAAAGGAAAAGCACATCCAGGGAGATGGAGTCTCCCTGGCAGATCCATCCACCCTTCCTTCCTTCCACCCACCCTCTCTCCCTCCCTTCCCTCTATCTAACATCCATCATCCATTTTCTGAGCACCTGCTCTGAGCCAGGCTGTGGGTTTGGTGCAGAGAATATGAAGTAAATAAAACCAGGTTCTCACCCTCAAAGGGCCCTTGAGCCAATGGGAGGAGGCGGCGAGCCTCATGGCCCACGTGTACTGAGTTCTGCACAGTCTCACTGGGTTCTCCCAACAGCCCTGCAGGACTGGAACTCATTGCTCCTAGGCCTGTTTTTGCAGGTTGAGGGAGCAGAGGCTCAGGAAGGTGACGTCACTTGCCTGAGGCCACACACACTTGCCAGGAGGCCACATACAATACACCCAGCCTGCCTCAGGGAGGGCCTGGCCTAGTCCTGGGCCTGCTCAGACAGCTTAGTTCCAGATACCTAGACCCCTAATGTATTCCCCAGCCCTGCTGTGCCATACCCAGCGGCATGCCGATGCCGTAGCCCTTGGTGTCGAGGAGGCCCCCGATCTGGGTGAGGTTGCAGTTGAGGCGCCGGTGGTACTCATTCATGGTGGACTCAAGCAGGAAGGCGTAGCGGGAGTTGAGGACACGGGCGATGCCCTCCTCTGTGCTCTTGACGAACACACTGGGCTGCTTTGACTGCATGTAGTTCCACATACGCTGGTACGTCTGATACCGTGAATTCTGGGCAGAGGGGGCACCAGGAAAAGTCAGGAGAGGGTCTTTCCACTCCCTGCCTCTCCCCTGAGCCCTGTCCCCTGCCCGCCAGGAAATCTCCCTTAACCAGAGATAGCGAGCGAGACCAGAGGAAGACAGAGAGAGCCAAAGACAGGAGAGAGACAAGACAGACTGCTCAAGGCCAGGTCCAAGTTGTCTTCATACCCATCAGCCCAACAAGGACCTGAGGACGGAAGGCTTGGGAAGAAGGGGCCATGGTCTATTTTTCAACCCTTCTTCTCTCTTCTACCCCTGGGCTTGGCTCAGCCTGACTCCATCCCCGTCTTCCCAACACCCCCAGGCCTTACTCACAGAAGCTGGGAGCAGATGCTCAACCCCAAATCTACCCAGGTGCAGCCTGGTTCAGGGAGACCAGCATCCATGACAAGTAGAACAGCTTACTTCCTACAGGCTCTGTGGGAACCTTCTGGGAAACGCCCCACCCCACCCCAGCCACAGCCCGGAGGGGGAGGTGTGAGGAGGCCAGGCTGGGGATGACACACCTGCCACTACTCCCAACACACGCCCTCCCGCACCTGCCTCTCCCTCTTTTTTTTTTAAAGATTTTATTTATTTTATTTTTTCCCCCCAAAGCCCCAGTGGATAGTTGTATGTCGTAGCTGCACATCCTTCTAGTTGCTGTATGCGGGACTCGGCCTCAGGATGAACGGAGAAGTGGTGCCTCGATGCGCACCCAGGATCCGAACCCGGGCCACCAGCATCGCAGCGCGCGCACTTAACCACCAAGCCACAGGGCCGGCCCTGCCTCTCCCTCTTTGATCTGAGGTCCAGACACTGCTCTTTCTAGGTGCCCCACAGGCCCCTCCCCGTGGCTCAACAACCTCTCAACCTGGGAGTTCACCCCCTCTTCCTCTCCTTTACCACTCAGCCAACGGCCCAGCTCCAGCCTCCTCTAGACCACTTGTCTAACTCCCTACTCCCCAAGGGGAACTTGCAGCTCTAAATGGGTCACCCCTTGGGCCGGCCCCGTGGCTTAGCGGTTAAGTGCGCACGCTCCGCTACTGGCGGCCCGGGTTCAGATCCCGGGCGCGCACCGACGCACCGCTTCTCTGGCCATGCTGAGGCCGCATCCCACATACAGCAACTAGAAGGATGTGCAACTATGACACACAACTATCTACTGGGGCTTTGGGGGGAAAAAAGGAGGAGGATTGGCAATAGATGTTAGCTCAGAGCCGGTCTTCCTCAGCAAAAAGAGGAGGATTAGCACGGATGTTAGCTCAGGGCTGATCGTCCTCACAAAAAAACAAACAAATAAACAAACGGGTCACCCCTCTGCTCACTAACCATTCCCACCCTCCCACTTACAGGGTCCAATCTCAGCCCTATCCTGGCATTCGAGGCCTCTGCAGTCTCACCCAAATCTCCTCAGCAGGCTTGCTTTCCTTTCGTTTCCTTCCCACCACCCCAAAACACACAGGGACAAGCCCCTTTCATCTTGAAGAGCCTTCCTCTCCTCTCTGCTGGCCCATTTTCCCAGGCCTGACCCTTCTAGCAGCTTCCGTGACCTCATTTGGCCTGTCCAACACTGATGTGACGTTAGATCCCACATCTGCCTCCTTTTCCCCATTCCCTGAGTGAAAGCCCAGTTTCCCCAGCCAGACAGCAGCAGCCCCTGAGAGAGTATGAGCATGTCTTCTGCTACCCGGCCTCTCTGACTGGCATGACAATCAGTCCCTCTGACCCAGGGCCAACCCCACCCTGAGCTGCTATGCATGGTGGGGATCCCAACACTGAGCCTAGGTGGCTCCGGCAGCCCCACCTGGAAGAAGGTCATGGTGGAGCCAGCGTGGATGGTGCCGTACTCAATGTTGGTCTGGTCTGCCAGGTCGTCAGCTGACTCCACAGGCACCTCCATGCGCTGCACGGTGAGGAAGGCGGCCAGGTTGGCCGTGTAGGAGGAGATGATGATCAAGGTAAAGGCCCACCTGAGGGGTGGGAGGGGTGAGCTACAGGTGGGAGCCACCCCTGCCACCCTGTCCCTGTGGCCCTGCATCCCATTGGTGGTGACCCCTCAGTGACCCCGGCATCTGGAAGGCTCAGAGACTGCTGACTAGTGGAGAGGCTGGGAGCATGGATTCTGGAGCTAGACTCCCTGGGTTTAAATATTGCTTCTCGAGACTTCCACTTCCAGATACAAGAGAATAAGATGGTCTGGACATACCCTCCCACTGTGAACTGGAAAACTGAACAGAATATAGGAAACTATTTAAAGACATAGGACAAGAAACATCACAAGACTGTGAGCCCTGAGAAAAGAGAAACAAACGAGGTGAGCTTGATCATTGCCCAGGCTGGCCGGCTGGATTTAATTCACAGACTGCAACGCCAGGAAGGAAAACCCAAACAGTCTGGCAATCTCACTGAGCTGCAGAGATGGAAATCAGAGATCAGGGAGGCCTAGATGGCTGGAATCTATGGTACAGAGTACCCAAGAGGAGGGAGCTGCACACAGAGAGACGGTTCCAGAAATCTGCATGGGGTCCCCCTGAGTCTTTGGCTGAGTATCAATCCGTGTATGCAAAGGGTGAAACTCCAAGAGACTGGACAGGAACAGCTTTCAAAGACAGAACAATCCCAGGGCTCACACAGGGCTGGGAATCTTTTGAGCTCCCTCTAACCAGAGCAGAGAGATCTCACTGAATACCTGAGACATTCAGTAGGGACCCAAAAGGACAACATGCTAGAAATAGAGTTAAGTTAGCCCTAGAATAAAGGCCATGCTAGACCTGCCCCAAAAGAGCCTAGAAACAGGCCTGGAAAGGATCAAAGTAATCCACGAGTAACTTAACTGCCTGCCAGAAAAAGTCCAAGACTCTTTCAAGTAATACATTCAACAATGTAAACAACGTAAAATTCACAATGTCTGTCATCCAAAAAAGAATTACCACATACACAAAGGTGCAGGAAACTGTGACTCATAACCAAGAGAAAAATCACTCAATTGAAACAGACCCAGAACTGACAGAGATGACGGAATTAACAGACAAGGACATTAAACAACTATTATAGATGGATTCACTACGCTGAAGGACATAAAGAAAAACATGAACATATCGTAGAGAGAAATGGAAGCCATAAAAAAGAAGTGAATGGAACTTCCAAAGGTGAAATATACAACATCTGAAAATATTACTGGAGTGGATTACACAGATTAGACGCTGCAGCTGAAAAGAACAGGGAATTGGAAGAAAGCAAAACAGTCTATCCAAATGAAGCACAAGAGGAAAAAATGACTGACAATGAGCACAGAGCCTGAGTGACCTGAGGAATAATAGCAAGTGGTCTTACATACGTGATTAGAGTTCCAGAAAGAGAGGAGAGAAAGGGGGCAACAGAAAAGAATATTTGAAGAAGTAATGGCCAAAAATTTTTCAAATTTGATGAAAACTATCAACTTGCAGATCCAAGAAGCTCAATAAACCCCAAGCAGGATAAACACACACACCACCAAACACATCAAGGCACATTATAATCAACTGCTGAAAACCAGTGATAAACAGAAAATCTTTAAGATTCGCCTCGAACTAACATCTGTTGCCAATCTTCCTCTATTTTGCATGTGGGCCCACTGCCACAGCATGGCCACTGACAGACGAGTGGTGTAAGTCCGCACCTGGGAACCAAACCCGGGCCACCGAAGCAGAGTGCACTGAACTTAACCACTAGGCCACCAGGGCTGGCCCCAGATAATCTTAAAAGAGAGTCAGAGGGGGCGAAAACACATTACATACAGAGAATCAAAGATAAGAGTGACAGTAGACTTCTTCTCAGAAAGTATGCAGGCCAGAAGACAATACAACAATGTGCTGAAAGAAAGAAAAATTGTCAACCTAGAATTCTATATCCAGCAAAAGATCCTTCAAAGAAGAAAGCACACTAGTAAATTCTTCATACAAACAAAAGCTGGCAGAACTAATTGCCAGTAGACCCAAACTTCAAGAAATATTAAAAGAAGTTCTTCAGGTAAAAAGAAAATAAAAGCAGATGGAAATCTGGATGTACATGAAGGAATGAAGAGCATCAGAAATGGTAGATGTATGGGTTAATATAAAAGACATATTGCTCATTTAAAAAATTTCTTTAAAAGACATTTACTTTTTAAGCAAACACACACATATACACTTAATATACTGTGGGGTCACAGATATGTAGAAGTAATATATATGACAAAAGTAGCTCAAAGGATGGGAGGGAGAAATGGAAGTATACTGTTCTAAGGGTCTTACAACTTATGTGAAGTGATATAATGTTACTTGAAAGTATTCTGTAATAAATTAAAGAGGCATATTGTAAACCCAGAGCAACTAGTATGAAAAATTCAAAAAGAAGCATAGTTAGTAAGTCAATAGTGGACATAAAACAGAATCCTAAAAATCTCAATAAATCCAAAAGAAGGTAGGAAAAGAGGGAAAAGGTAACAAGGAAGACATGGGACAAAGAGAAAACAAACAGCAAGTTGGTAGATTTAAACCCAACCATATCGATAATTCCATTAAAGGCAAATGGTCTCAACCAGGGGTTGGCAAACTATAGCCCACAGGCCAAATGTGACTTGCTGTCAGTTTTTGGATAGCCCACAAGCTAAGAATGGTTTTCACATTTTTAAATGGTTAAAAAGAAACTGAAAGAAGAGTAATATTTCATGACACATGACATATAAAATTCAAAATGCACTGTCAGTGTCCATAAATAAAGTTTTATTGGAACACAGCCACTCTCATCCATTTACGTACTGTCTGTGGCTGCCCTCACATTACAGAGTTGAGTAGTTTTGACAGAGATCGTATGGCCAGCAAAGCCTAAAATATTTACTGTCTGGCCCAATAGAGAAAAAGTGTGCCAACCCCTGCTCCAAGGCCTAAGTATATGCTGCCTATAAGAAACCCACTTTATATATAACAATAAAGGTAGATTGAAAAATAAAAGGATAGGAAAAAGATATGCTACACAAACACTAAGCATAAGAAAGCTGGGGTGGCTATATTAACATCAAATAAAGGTAACTTCAGAATAAGGAATATTACCAGGAATAAGGAGGGACGTTATATAATGACAAAAGGGTCAATTCATCAAGAAGACATACCAATCCTAAACATTTATGCACCTAATTACAGAGCTTCAAAATTCATGAAACAAAAACTGAATTGAAATAGAGAAATTGAAGGTAGAACTGAAAAGAGAAATAGATACAACTTCTCCACAATTATAGGTGGAGATTTCACCACTGCTCTCTCAATAAGTGATAGAGCAAGTAGACAGAAAATCAGTATGAATATAGAATACTTGAATAACACTATCAATCTACTGGCTCTAACTGCCATCAATAGAACACCACATCCACGACCAGCAGAATACACATTCTACGCAAATGTACACAGAACATGTACCAGGATTGACCATATGCTAAGCCGTAAAACAAGTCTCAATAAATTTCAAAGGATTAAAATCCTACAGAGAATGTTCTCTGACTACAATGGAACTAAACTAGAAATCAATAGTAGAAAGATTTCTGGAAAATCCCCAAATCTTGGCTCCATCGCTGTCTAGCTGTGTGACCTTGGACTCACCTGTGAAGTAAGTACAGTTGCAGATCCCTCCTCACAGGGTTGTTGTAAGAGGGAGTTACATCTGGCACAGAGCAAGCGCTGTGCCCAAGTGTGTGCTCTTATTGTCTTGGTGACTCAGGACTGACTCGGAGAAGAGGCACCCGTTGGCCTGGCTATGGGACCCAAGTACAGCCACTTGTCTGACCCTGGCCCTCTCTGTTCTCCTGCCTGGCAGGTGAGAGTGGCCAGGCTCCCCACAGATGACACAGATCTGTGGGGCCTGAAGACAGGGCAGATGCTGAGAGGGCCTCCCAGACCACCCCCTCCTCTGGCAGATCATAATGAAAACAGCAGCCTTTCTTTGCTGAACACACGTGCACAGTGCTGTGCTAGGCACTGGGGTGGGGGTGGACTGGAGGACAGAGTGATGAATAATATGCCTCCTGCAAAAGGAAACCAAAATCCGACACACAAAGACCCAGGGTCTGACACAACCTCTCCAGAAACCAAGTGTCTCCAAACCCACCCCAGGAGTCAGAGTTGTTATTCACTCAAGACAAAATTATTCAGTGCCCAGTACACACCAGGCACCACCTAGACCCCAAGGATACAGCATGGCTAACTGGTGGTAGTGATGGCGGGGAGATGGGGCCACTCTCCGAGAGAGCATGGGGACACAGACGGGGAGTCTGATTTGGGAGTAGGGATGTAGCTCCATTTTGGACAAGTTGAGTTTTGAGGATGCCTGTCAGGCACCCATGGAGAGGTCTGGAGATGAGGACTGGAGTGTCAGTTACGAACAGCAAGGGAAGCCAGGGGCGGATGAGATGGCCCTGGAGGGTACAGAGCGGGGGTCCCCGGGCAGGGAGCACCCCAGGAGGTCTGAGGACAGTGTTCAGTGAGGCATGGGGCACTCTGGAGCCAGAGTGACTGAGGGGGTCCTGGTGTCAATGAAGGAGGAAGGTGTCCGAAAACGCAGCCCCGGCTGAACAACAGGAAAAATCCAGTATGTGATTATCTGAGCCTAACTCCTTGGTACATAAAAACCAAAGTATTTTTTGCATGGTTATAAGAGAAACCGAAATCTCTAGAAATGCACATATTGTTTAGACTGAGGAACAACTGGATGTCGTTTTGTTTGAAACTTTGCCAAGAACCCTTCACCATTTTGGGAAATCACGTCTCTGACAGCAGCTCTGCTCTGGTATTTGAATCACCAAGTCAAGACACTTGGACCAGTTGCATTAGAAAATCATCACGTTCGTGGTGATTTGTATTTGTACAAACATACTCATCTACCAACTATTTCAAAGTGTCAAGTCTCCAGTGTGGATGTAATACGGTTAAATGGTCTTACTTCTCGTAATTCCAGACGTATCCATTATAAGTAGGTGCAACCACCTGACTACTGCACCTGTCTTCCAGCACAGTCTCGCCCAAGCATTTCCATATCACTACTGTATTGTTTTATCATAAATCACTTCCCTTTTTCTCCTTTGTATTGCCATCAGGGCATTTTATCGATTTGTTTTAAATTCTGTGTGTAGGTGGATATATTACCCTTGAATTTCATCAGGATGGAAAGGAGATGTTACAAAATATTTGTTGTAAAAAGAGGGCGTTGGGTCTGCAGCACTGAAAAATCACTGGTGTGGAGTGAGGAGTTCCAGGTGAGACGGCAAGCACAAAAGGAACCCACCGCAAAATGAAACAGAGGATGCAGAGGTAGGAGGAAACCAAAAGGATATAGCAGCCTAAAAGCAGGAGTTTCTAGAACGGTGGCTAACGGGGCATATTGGACATGTCAATTAACGGGTCCCATGTGACCCTGGTGGAGCCGGGGGGAGGGCGAGCCACGCTGCTGGCCACATCGGAGGTTGTGGGCCTTTCTTGTCAGGAAGGCGTGAGGAGAGGATGACCTGAGGAGGGGTTGAAGAAAATGGCAAAGGAGTGGCTGAAGACACGGCCTAGAGCCTACCTGGAGGTGGACAGACACGAAAGCAGGCAGGGTTCAGAGAACAGGAAAGAGGGAGGTCTAAGGACTCACTTCACAGGAGTGACCGAGAGTCCGGGAGGGACACGGCTGTGGTTGGGCATAACCTCGGAAACACTGATTTCTGAGGCAGAGCGGTCCTGATGATGATAAGCCCTTGGGTGTGGCTGCACGAGGCTGTGGCCCGAGTGGACGCTGGAGACGAAGGGCCCAGAAGGCGGGTTCTGGCCAGGCTGCTGCTGTTCAGGTGGCAGCCAAGTCCCCTAGGGTACTGGCACCCACCCCCACCACCCCACCACTGGCCCTGGCCTGCCGAATTACTGGGCCGGGGTCACATTTGGAGATTAATCAACATCTGTTGAAACATCTGTTGAATGAGGGAATGTGTGGGAGGACTCGGGGTGGAGACAGGAGTAAGCCCGGAATCAAAGGCTCCAATGAGGGAGGAAGAGTGACTGGGGGCTTCCTGAGTGACAGCGATGGGAAGAGGCAGAGAACACCCAGCTGCAGAAGAGGGTCCCTGACTGAGGAGCAGTGGGGACAGCCTCCAGCAGAAGGCAGGCCTCACTGGTCCCCTGCCTGACCTGGGGACTTGGCCAGATTTGTCAGAGAAGATCTCCTCGTGCCCTCTCCAGCCACCTCACACACACAGCCCTCTCCTGCCTGTCCAGAATGCTCCCTCTCTTCTTGTCACAGACGTCTCTGTTTCAGCCTTTAGGACTCAGGGTGGATGTCACCTCCTCAGAGAGGCCTTCCCTGAGCACCCCATTCTCTAATATACTCTTTTACTGCACCCTGTTTGGTTCCTCAATAGGCACAGTTTACTACATCTGATACATCATTATATTGAAAATGTTAATAAATTTCACTTGGATTGTACGGCAGGCAGAAGACAGCCCCCCCCCCTCCCGTAAAAGATGTCTACATCATACTCCCTGGAATTTGTATGTTCCCTTACGAAGTAAAAGGGTCTTTGCAGATCTGATTAAGTTAAGGAACTTGAGATGGGAGATGGATTATCTGGGTGGGCCCAGTGGAATCACAAGGGTCCTTATAAGTGGAAGAAGGAAGTCAGAGTCAAAGATTTGAAGATGTTATGCTGCTGGCTTTGAAGATGGAGTAAGGGGCCAAGAGCCAAGGAATGCAGGCAGCTTCCAAAAGTTGGAAAAGGCAAGCAAATGGATTCTCCCCTAGAGCCTCCAGAAAAACCAGCCCTGCCAACTCCTTGATTTTAGCCCAGTGAGATCTATTTCAGACCGCTGACCTCCAGACTATAAGAGAATAAATTTCTGTTGTTTTAAGCCACTAAGTTTGTGTAATTTGTTGCAGTAGCAATAGGAAACTAATACAGGGTATAACACTTGAAATGATGCAAATCCTTAAATGTTAAAAAAATAAATCCTCAAGACTCAAAAGTTTCAAAGCCAGTGGACCAAGTGAATTGCAAATGAATGCCATATGATAGTTAGTCACACTTAGTTGGGAGAGAAAAACCTGCCACCGTTACAGTTAGTCTTGAACTGAATAAGTTTTGAATTAAGACAACATCTTTGGGACACATTCTTGGTATAACACATGACATCCCCGTGTTTATGTATCTGTTTACTCTTTTTCTGCTTCTTGGGGGCTGATTCTTCACCCAAGTGCCTGGCACATGGAGGGGCTCGACAAGCATCTGCTGAATGATTATTGATGCGTGAATTCTGACTGATGGGGATGAGGTGAGGAAGAAGTGCTCCTTGAGAAGGCCTGATGCCTGGGATTGCCCTGGAGAGGTCACCAGGGGCTGGGGAGCAGGGCTGGGCTCAGGCAGCTCCGAGGGCTGGCTGGGGTGAGCCGCACTGGGGAGGGAGCTAGCTCGGCCTGGCCCTGCCTCTAGCCAAATGCGTGTTCTTTAGCAAATCACTCCCTCTCTCTGGGTCTCAGTCTTCTAATCCATAAAACGGGGAGAACATTCTCTGTCCTAAGCATTCTCCTCAGCTTTCTGTGGTTCTAATGAGGGAAAGGGAGTGAGAAGAGTTATATGAACTGCAACCAAGCCCAGCTGCTATTTAAAAGACACGGTTAGCTTCTGCAAAGCGAAGGAAACCATCAACAAAATGAAAAAGCAACCAACTGAATGGCAGAAGATATTTGCAAATCATACATCTGATAAGGGGTTAATATCCAAAATATACAAAGAACTTACAGAATTTAATATCAAAAAAATAAACAATCTGATTAAAAAATGGGCTGAGGACTTGTATAGATGGTTTTCCAAAGAAGACACACAGATGGCCAACAGGCACATGAAAAGATGCTCAACATCACCAATCATCAGGGAAATGCAAATCAAAACCACAATGAGATACCACCTCACACCTGCCAGAATGACAATTATCAAAAAGACAAGAACGAACAGATATTGGCAAGGATGTGGAGAAAAGAGAACTCTTGTACACTGCTGGTGGGAATGTAAACTGGCACAGCCACTATGGACAACAGTATGTAGGTTCCTCAAAAAATTAAAAATAGAATTACCATACAATCCAGCTATTCCACTTCTGGGTATTTATCTGAAGAAAACGAAAACACTAACTCGAAGAGATATATGCACCCCTATGTTAATTGCAGCATGATTTACAATAGCTAAGACTTGGAAGCAACCTACGTGTCCATCAATAGATGAATGGATAAAGAAGATGTGGTATCTATATACAATGGAATATCACTCAGCCCATAAAAACGAATGAAATCTTGTCATTTGCGACAGCATGGAGGGACCCAGAGGGTATTATGCTAAGTGAAATAAGACAAATAAGACAAGAAACAAACTGGTGGTTACCAAAGCGGGGAAGAAGGGGGCAGGTGAAATAGGTGAAGAGGATTAAGAGGTACAGACTTGCAGTTAGAAAATAAATAAGTCATGGGGATGTAATGTACAGCATAGGGAATATAGTCAATAATATTGTAATAACTTTGTATGGTGACAGATGGTTACTAGACTTATCACAGTGAATATTTTGTAATGTATACAAAGGTGGAATCACTGTTGTACACCTGAAACTAACATAATATTGTATGTCAATTACACTTCAAAAAAAACGACAGGGGTAGCAAATGTGAATGCCTATGGAGGCCAGGCCAGAAAAAGACTGAAGGGAAGGGAGACAGGGGACTGAGGAACAGACACCAACACCAGGTGGGAATGCCGGCTGAGCACTACCAGATCTCCCGAATTTTCAAGAATGAGAAATCTGGATATGTGAGTGAATTTGCCCAATTTCTGAACCTTGCCAGCTAATTCAAAATATTTTTAAACTGTGGCCCAGACACCACCAGTTGTCGACATCTGCTCTGACATGCAGCCTCTCGGAGCTTGTCTCAGGGGCAAAATAAGTTCTGTCCAAGTGACTGAGTCCCCTGTGGGACTTGGAGGGAACAGGTGTCCCTGTCTGGGCCTTGGCCTCCGCCTCTGGACAGTGAAGGCTACCCTGGCTCAAAGATTCTAGGTCTCTGTGACTGTCAGGGCAATGTCTGAGATGGTGATAGCAACACCATGCTGTTGATTATAACCCCTCATGTAAGCAGAGGCACTTTCCCACAGCAGCCTCCTGGAGCCTTACAAGCTGAGACATGGGTATTTTTATCCTCATTTTTCAGATGAGGAGACTGAGGCATGGAGAGGAGATGTGTCCTACCTACCCAAGTCACAAAGCTAGTGAGTGGCAGAGTAGGGCTCAGCTCTCCCCATCCCATTCCCTGTCACACAGCTGGTGGTGGGGAACAGGGACCCGCCCAGGCCTCAGAAAGGCGCCCCCCACCTCAGCCCCAGGTGGACCAGACAGAAAGCCTCTCACCAGACTCCGCTGACACAGCGCGTGGACAGCGCCCGGGGCATGATCTCCGAGCCCTGCTGCATGAAGCCCCCCACGGGGAACCAGAGGCTGTTGCCCAGTGTGTACTGGTTCTCCAGGATGTGGGGGCGCGCCCGCAGGCACGGGTGTGGGTTATACCACTCGTAGGGGCTCAGCCTGTGGAGAGACATGGGGGGGGTGGATGGGGCCAAGGTGGGGAGAAAAAGGAGAGAAACAGGAAAGAGACAGAGCCACCATAACAAGGAGAGATGAGGGGAAAGATAGAAAAAAGAGGGGAAAAGAGAAACAGAGAGATGAACAGAGAGAGAGACACAGAGATAGAGAGGCTCACAGAAGAGGCAGAAAGAGACAGAGAGACACGCACAGAGAAGGAGAAAGACAGAAAGAATGGGAAGGGGAGAGGCCCAGAGTTAGAACCGCAGCGCAAAAGTCAGAACCACAAGGACAGAAGGAAGAGAGAGGACCCAGAGACGGGGCCAGGAGGGAGAAGGGAGGGTGCAGGGAATCAGGGGCCCCAAGTGGACGCCGAGGATGGTAGGGACAGATGACAAAATGTGCAGGTCAGTCACAGAGTACCCCTACTCATGCCTCCTCCCCACCCCCTCTTCCCAGGCAGCAGGCAGTGGACTCACCTGGCAGCCAGGAACAGGATGCAGCTGACGGCCAGGTAGGCAAGCAGCATGAAGAGCCACACAGCAGGGGAGAAGGGGTCCAGGAAGGAGAAGTAGCCAGGCTTGCGGCCCTGGGGGAAGAGGAAGTGAGCCCTGGAACCACCCTGACCTGAGCCCCTGAGCTGCATCCTTAGTCCCTGCCCCCGCCAGGGGCCCAGGAGCCTGACCAGCCCATCAGAGGTCCAGCCTACAGCCTCTGCTTCCCTTGGGGACACCGGCTCCACCACCAGTCCCTGCCCCCAGCCTCCACATCTCCCCGGGAACCGTACCATGTGCACTCGGTAGAGGATGCTGATCCCCAGGGTCATGAAGGGTTTGGAGAAGTCGATGACCTTCTCCCGCTCAGCGGTGATGGTGAATGCAGCCACAGCCAGGTCTGCCTTCTGCTGGAGGGGAAGCAGGGTGGGAGCAGAGGGGTGGGCCAGGGAGAGAGACGGGCAGTGAGAGAGAAACGCACTGAGAGAGCAACTGAGAGAGAATATCAGAAGCTGAGAGAGAGGCAGAGAGAAAGAAGGAGAAGAGGAGGGGCCAGGAGCCTGGACTGGCTCCAGGAGTGCACCTTGGGCCCAAATTGGACCCTCGTCATCTCACGGCTGCTGTAAGAGGCTCCCATGGCCTCTTTCCTGCCGGCTGCCCTGCCCCGTCCAATCTTTCCACACACACCCCTCAGCTCCCGGCCCCGTCAAGTTCATCATTAAGGCCCTGCTTTATAAAACCTACCACTGACCCTAACCTCCCCCCACCACCCTAGGGGCCTGGAGAGAGCTTGAGATTTGAGGTGAGATGCCCGGACACTGACCCACTCAGGACCCTCTTTGGGCCTTGGTTTCCTCCTCTGTCTTAACAGTTAACAACATGGAACAGGTATTATGTGCTTACTGTGTGCCAGGCTCCATGCTAGATAGCATTTTACAGAGATTACTTTGTATGCTTCTCCCAACAGCTCCCTGAGGGCCACTACTAGCCCCATTTTGTACGGAGAAACTGAGTCTCAGAGAAGCAAAGGCACTAGTGAGTAAAGGCAGGAGCTGGGGACACTAAAGCAGACCCCTGGCAGGCACTAGCGACCTAGATGTGTGCATGAAGGCATCGCCGCGACAAAGGACCAGTGCCCAGCTCAACTGAGATGTGATGTCAGGGGAAGCTGCATGTAGTCTCGAGCAGGGGAGGGGTGCCTGCCGTCCAGGTCTGAAGGGGTGAAGGTGGGGCATGGGTGGGGTGGGACAGAAGAAGGGTTTCGGTGGGGTCTGGCTTGCACACCTGGAATCCCTGATCCAAAAAGGCTATCTTGCTCAGGCCCAAGTGGACAGTAGCTGGCCTTTAGCTGTGGGTTAGACACGAGATGGAAAAAACCTGGCACTTTGCATACACCAACCCCCCACATACATACATACACACTGCACTGAGCTCTGTACATGGTCACATCTACACCACCACCACCATGTGCACATCACACCACACCCACACATGGGTGCCCAGAAACAGGCCAACCCAGCGACACACCATCCACAAGGACGCAGGCCGACAGACACGTACCCTATACACAAGTGTAGGGAGGAACGGAGACACATGGGGGGTGGCATTCACTAGAGGCTCAGTGCACACACTCGCACACTGGGCTCTCACATACAGGGCAGGGCACGAGGAAGGGCCCAGAGCAGGAGTGAGGAACCCTGGCTCTGCCCCAAGCTTGCCGGATGACCTCAGGCAGAGGCTTCCACATCTCTGGGCCTCAGGTTGCTCATCTGTAAAATGGGGGGTGAGGTTGGGCAAGATGTCTCACACAGCTGTCCAGGTCCTGGGGTTGGGACTGGGCTCCCAGGATGCCCCCTTCCAGGCATAATGACCCCATCCCCCAGGCCTCAAATGGGCCCCAGCATTGACTCCAAATTCAAGCAGAGACCTCTCCCTGGGGCTGAAATAAAAGAGGTCCTGGATCACTGGCCCAGGAGAAGACACACACTAACCCCAAAGGGGCTGAGACCGAGAGCACACGAGGTAACACAAGCCAGGGAAGAACCCAGGTGGGGACAGAGGGCACAGGCCCAAAAGATAACCTCAAGGTAGAGAGGTGGCACAGGCTAAAAACAAAACCAAGGCCAAGGAGAGATCACACGGGCCCTAAAAGAAATCCACAGTCAGGGAAAGAAGAGAGATCTCAAAGACAACTTGACGCCAGGGAGAGAGGACAGACCCAAAAGATAAACCAAGAGCAGAGAGAGACGGCAGGTCAAACAACTAATGCAGGGGGAGGGAGAGATGGCTCTGGCCCCATATGACTTGGAAGCAGAGACGGCACAGCCCCAAAGCAGAGTCCGGAGGTGGCGATGTGTGGCCAGGGCCCAGGACACGGCTGACACGGAGCACATCTGGGAATCCCTGGGCACCCTGAGCACTGAGAGTGAAGGTCTCTTTCCCCTTCCTGTGCTCTTGCCACTGACTAATATGTGAATTTTCAGTAATAATCACAACTCATACAGGAATCGGATTATTTTTACACACCCACGGGAGGTCTGTCCTGGCAAGACCTTCCACGGGGCCCAAGTTCCCATTTCAGAAAGCAGGAGGTGGTAGCCTCTCAGAGGGGCTGGGGCGGGCCCCGGTGGTCCCCACGCTCAGGAGCCCACTTCCTCCCTGAGGCCTGCAGGGCTCCTGGCTCCTTTCTGTTCCATCCCTTGCTTGGCTCACTAGCCTCCTCACCCCCTCTCGAGACCCTGGCTCAGGCCCAACACCTAGGCAGGCCTGTCTCTTCTCTTACCACTTCTCCTCCAGGAGCAAGGGCAGAGGAACACTCCTGGGATCTGGTTACTTCTCTCCACCTCCAGCCCCGAGCCCAGACCGCCCATATCTCCCTCCTGACAACCACATTAGTCTCCTCACCGAGGTGCCTCTGCTCATGACCCTCCAATCCAAAGGGACAGTCCCCTGTTTCAAAACCACTGGTGGTTTCCCACTGCACCTAAGGCAAACCCTTTCATAGCCAAGAGGCCCTTCATGATGTGAGACCCCCGTCTACTGGCCTCACCTCATGCCCCTTCCCTCGCCCACTCAGCTGCAGTCACAATGGCGCTTTCTGCTCTTTACCACAGCAGGCTTGTCCCCTACCCCAGGGCCTCTGCACTTGCTCTTCCCCAGCTCCTCCTCACCACTCGAGGCTTAGCTCCTATCTCATCCCTTCAGCCCTCTCCACAGCGACCTCTAGACTCCACTCCCCCAATCCCAGGGTCCTCTCCCTCACATGACCCATCACCCCGTTTCATACCCATCTTAGCACTACTAGAGATGACCTTGCCCGTTTGCTTACTAATGGTCTGTCTGCCCTACTAAATTTCAAGCTTCTTCCCTGTCTGGTTAGAGGTCCACTCAGAGCCTACACATAGGTTCCCAACAAATACTGTTTGGTTTCGACCAAGTCCAGCCTCTCTGAATGGCACCCAAGGCTGCTACGGTTCCCCACCGCGTTCCTGGGCCTCTCGCCACCCCTCTTGTGCCAGCTGTTCTATGGCCTCCGCACCTTTGACCAGCCACTCCCTTTGCCTGCCCCACTCCACCCTGCAGAACTGGATCCCACAATCCCTCCAGGGACCCCTCGAATATTCCCTCCTCTGTGACGCCTTCCGTGGAGCCCCCACATTCTGGACACCCCTTGATCTCAGCACTCAGCTCAGTTCAAAAAATATCTGTTCGCTTCTCTGCCTCCTCTACGAAACCTTCAGAGGCAGGGCCAGCTGGACGCGCTGAGTGTTTCCTCTGCTGAAAGCCTGAGAATGTCGCCCCTCCTCAGGGGACCTCCCAGAGGCTCCCAGACAGAGACACCTCTCCTTCCTTGGGCTGTAATGGAACCCCACACAGGTCCAGACACTGGCACTTACACAGCACTTACCCTGAGGCCACCATTCCAGGGCTTTCCCTCCCTGGAAAAGCTCATTTAGTCCCCAGAGCCAACCTATGTGGAGGACCATCATTCCCTCCATTTTACATGTGAAGAAACCGAGGCACAGTGAAGGTAAGTACCTTGCTCTAGTTGACCCCAGGATTCATAACCACCCCCCCCTCTGAGGACGCTTCACCTGTCCATGGCCCCTCCATGGCCTGGGGCATCTGAGGTGAGGGTCCAGGTGTGTGACTCCTCCCTGGTCCCACGGAGCTCAGGAAATGAGTGCTCAGTGACTGAGTGACCAGAGGAGTGAGTCCTTGAACCTCCCATGAACACGCAGTAAACTCAGCCTCCATCCTCTCCCCAACGACATCCCAGGCAAAAGCCCCAGGGCGTCCTTCATACACATCCCCCACACTCCTCACTGCATCTATCCTCAAGCCCTCCTGATTTCAGTCCCCAAACACCTCTGGAATCCAGTCGCTTCTCTCTGCCTCCACTGCGCTGCCCCTGCTCAGATCGCTGTCTCTCAGGACCGGAAAACTGGTCTCCGCCTCCTCGGCCACTCAGTGGGCAGCCTGAGGGATCCCAAAACTACAACCCAGCCACACTATCCACTGCTTAAACCCTGCAATAACTCTCATTCTTCTTATACTGTCATCCAAACTCCTCACCTGGCCCCATGGGGCCCTGCCCTACCTGGCCCCCACTAACTCACCAGCCTCACCCTCACTGCTATGGACTGAGGTTTGTGTCCCCCTAAAACTCACATGTTGAAATCTTAACCCCCAATCTGATGGTATTAAGAGGTGGGGGCCTTTGGGAGGTGATTAGGTCATGAGGTGGCGCCCTCGTGAATGGGATTAGCGCCTTTACAAAAGAGGCCTCAGAGAGCTCCCTTGCCCTTTCCTCCATGTGAGGACACAGCAAGAAGATGGCCGACTATGAACTAGGAAGTGGGCCCTCACCAGATACAGAATCTGCCAGCACTTTGATCCTGGACTTCCAGCCTCCAGAACTGTGAGAAACAAATTTCTATTGTTTATAAGCCACTCAGTCCATGGTATTCTGTTATAGCAACACAAACAGACTAAGATACCCGCCATCTTGCCCTGTATCCCCACATTGCAGCCACTCTGCCCATTCTGTCTGTTCATTCATTCATTTACCTGTTCGACAAACATTTACAGAACACCCACCCCTGGCCAAGCACAATTCTACCTTTGGGAATTCAGCAGTGAATATAAACACATATCAAGTAGCGACAAGTGCTATGAAGAAAAACAAAGCAGGGCAACACCATCCAGACTGCTACACACTCCCTGGTGCAGGGAGGTCTTGAGTAAAAACGTGAAGGAAGTGTGGGAGCAAGGCATGAGAAGATCTATAGAGAAAGTTCTAGGCTGAGGGACCAGTGGGCACAATCCCTGAGGTGGGAAGTGACTTGCAGTGTCCAAAATGGGTGGTGCACACTGGGGGGTGGGTGGGAAATGCAGCCAAGTGGGACCA